GGCCATCCAGGCAATAAGGGAGAATTTTGGAATATGAGCAGGGAACCAAATGATCCTGTGCCAAGTAACTTTCGCTGCACGAACTCTGATCTGATCCCAAAGTCATTTACCCTTAATCAGGCTCCAATTAGTACAAGGAATAAACAAGTTCCTAGCCTCCTCACGAAGTTTCAACAGCTTTTTTAACAACCAGCTGAAATAGGCTTTGTACTCAACTTCCCAGAAGCTTACAGCTTTAAGACAGTATGCATATAACCATGCAATCCAGAGAGAACCATCATTTGCAAGAATTTTTTTAATGAGCAAAAGGCAGCAAGCCTTATTCCAAAGAACAAGACTTCTTAGACCCAGACCCCCCTCAGACCTAGGTGAGCAGATTTGGCTCCAACTTACACGAGCACCTCTGGCAGGGACATCACAACCTTTCCAGAAAAAACGCATGCAAAGCCTCTCAACATCATTGATAATCCCCTTGGGAAGAACCAGCTGCCTGCTCCAGAAGTTAAAGATACTGAACAAGACGGTTTTTACCAACTGCAGCCTGCCCCCAAAACTGAGCTTTTTACTAGACCATTGAGCCAGTTTACCTTTAATACGTTCCAAGAGAGCAAAACAGTCCTTCCCCGTGAGTTTACGAGTAACAAGAGGAACTCCAAGATACCTGATAGGGAACTGCGCAGTCTTAAACCTAGTAGCTTGCTGAATCAGACCAAGAGTGTTAATGTTTAAGCCACAGGCAAAAAATTCTGTCTTCAAAACATTTAGCTTTAATCCTGACAGTTCGTAGAAAACCTCTAAAGTGCTCAGCACTCCCATCACAGACTCAAGAGAGCCATGGAAAAAAACTAACAGATCATCCGCGAAGCAAAGGTGAGTGAGAGAGACTCTCTTGCATTTGGGATGGAATCTAAAAATTCCTCTCTTGGCAGCAGCATTCAACAGGGAGGATAGGACATTCATTACAATAACAAAAAGGTAAGGGGATAGAGGATCCCCTTGCCTAATCCCCCTAGCCCCTTTAAAGTACCCTACTAAACTACCATTCAAGCAAACAGAGTACATAGGGGTGGTAATACAAGCCTTGATCCAATTGTAAAACACATCAGGCAGCCCCATTGCCTCCAGAACAGACAGCAAAAAATTCCAGTTAACAGAATCAAAAGCCTTTTGTAAATCAATCTTTACAGTACATCTAGGAGAAAGGTTTTTCCTAGAATATCCCTTCACAATTTCCTGAGCTAACAGGGTATTATCAACTATGTTTCTACCCTTGACAAAAGCTGATTGATTGTATGAAATCAGACCAGAGAAATAAGGAGTAAGTCTATCAACAAGAATTCTGGTGATAGTTTTGTACACAACTGAGCAGCAAGAAATAGGCCTAAAATCCTTGGCTAGGGCAGCATTTGGAGATTTAGGGACCAAAACTAAGGCTGTGGAATTGAAGGAAGGCAGTAAACAGGATGTAGAGAAGAAATACCTCACAGCAGCAATGAAATCACTGCCCACAATGCTCCAGGCAGCTTTGAAGAAGCCAGCAGTGTAGCCATCAGGGCCAGGGCTTTTATCCTTCCCTTGTCTGAAGAGAGCCTCTTTGATCTCCACATCACTCACCTCCTTAGTAAGACATATATCTGCACCTTCAGGAAGACAAACATTAATCAAGTTCTTCAGATCTTTAGCAGGGCAGCCTTTAACTGAGGGGTCAGGAGAGCCAATGAGGTTAGTAAAAAAAACCCACTAACTCAGCAGCCATATCTTTAAAAGAATCAAACACCTGCCCATCCTCGCTTTTAATTACTCTGATAGTGTTCCTCTTTTTGTTAGCCTGAACCTTCTTATGAAAGAACTTTGTATTCAAGTCCCCCTCACTAAGCCAATGAGCTTTGGCTTTCTGTCTATAGAAGACAGCTTCAGCAGTTTCCAAATCCACAAGTTCAGAATGAACCCTATTCTCATCATCAATCCTTCTTAGAGCTGTGTGAGTCAGATTAAAAGTTTGGATATGCTCCAATTCAGACCTTTTATCTTTGACTCTACCAGAAATGTCAGAGAAAAACTCATTGTTAAGCTCCTTGAGTAATGGCTTAAGCCTCCTCAGCTTATTGAAAAAACAGCACATAGCAGAGCCTCCACAATGTCTCTGCCAGGAGTCTCTAACAGTGATCAGGAACCTATCATGGCCAATCCAACAATTAAAGAACTTAAAAGGCTTTGGGTGCATGGTCATTGTTGCCTTATGTGACCACAACAAGCCTAAACAATGGTCAGAAACCCCCTGGGCTTTATATTCAACAAAAGAGTCTGGGAAATCCAATAACCATTGATCATTGACTAAAATTCTGTCAAGCTTGCGGGCCAAGAAAGAGTCATCCTGCTTGGAGAATATTAAATTATAAACGTTCAGATTAAAATTACATTAAATTATCTATATTAGCTTCTAAATATTCGTTTTAGTTTCCAAATATTAAAATGATATTATGCTGTTTTTATATATTTAAATAAATAATTATTTGTATTCTAAATTTTAATAGAATTTATAATCGATGAAATCTCTGTCGTAATAGATTTAGGGTCATGAGCATATTTAGTATAATAACTTAATAGTTACATTTGTTAAATAAAATTACTTACCAAATCTTTAATTCACTATATAGTTTTCTGAATGTAGGATTGATCGAGTCAAACCCATACAAACAGTAACTATTGGTATACAATTATAATTAAGTCTTAGAAACACTAACATATTTTATAAGACGTTTGGAAGAAATGACGTCTTCTACTTTGTTATTCTAAAAGACTTGATATCTTGATTGTATATAATCTGAATAATATTTTCCAAAAATACGAGATAATCTACACATTTTTATATCGACTCTATAATACACGTAAATATCTGAATTTTTTTTCTGACACCTTAAATAAATCGATCTTTTCTCCATCACATAATCTAAGGAATTCTATTTCATCAACTGCCAAGTTTGATTTATTTTATTTTTTAATTTTCTATTAGAATTTAAAATTTATATTAAAATATAATAAGAATATAAATAGTTTGGCCAAATTCATATGGTTCAATAAATAAAAACAATCTAAATATTGAATTATTTGCATCGACCGAAGTACTAGTAAAATTGAATTATTATTGCTTAAAAAAGAAAAGCACAAACAAAAGTGTGGTGTGAATCAGCCACGTCATAAGGGGAAGTTATGCGGTGCGGCGTTTAAAAAACGGTTAAAAAATGACGTAACCGGTTAAATAAGTGACCGGTTAAAATTTAGACTGATTATGTTATATCATTTAATCGGAAATATTATCAAGCACAATAACATATTAGGTACCGCTTATATAATGTAATAGATATCGCTTATATAATAAAATATGTTAATTACTGGAAACATTATCAAGTACAATAATATATTAGGTAAAACTTATATAATGTAATAGGTAGCGCTTATATAATAAAATAGGTTAATTACTGGAAACATTATCAAGCACAAATAACATATTAGGTAGCGCTTATATAACGTAATAGGTAGTGCTTATATAATAAAATATGTTAATTATTTAATTTGTTATTACAATATATTAGGTAAACACCTAAAATATTACCAAGGATAACATAATCGGTTATTTACTGAAAACATTATCAAATATAATAATGTAAACGGTAAAAAAAAATAGGCGCTACCTATTACATTAAACTACCTACCGGATATGTTGAAAGTGTCGATTCTATTTAAATAAGTATCGACACTTTTGAAATTTAAAAGAAAAGCAGTAATAGCGCCTATAAAGTATCGATACTTTATAAAAATATATAGATACTTTACAATATAACAGGTAAAAATATGACAAAACCCAATTTCATTATGACAAAGCCGATAAAATTTACCGGATATGTTGAACTGCTTGATAATGTTTCTAGTAATTAACCTATTTTATTATATAAGCGCTACATATTACATTATATAAGTGTTACATATTACATTATATAAGCGCTACCTAATATGTTATTGTGCTTGATAATGTTTCCAATAATTAACCTATTTTATTATATAAGCGCTACCTATTTTATTATATAAGCGCTACATATTTTATTATATAAACGTTACCTATTACATTATATAAGCGCTACCTATTACATCATATAAAATGATCGATACTTTACAATATAACAGGTAAAAATATGACAAAACAGTTTCATTATGATAAAACCGGTCAAATTTACCTGATATGTTGAAAGTATATATATTTTTTATAAAAATATATCGATACTTTGTTGAAAGTTATGTAATTTATGTTTCAAAATTTTTTAATAGTGTTTCATGTTTTCCACCTATAATATTAATTTAATAATTTCATTTACACAAAAAATTATTTGATTGTTTTGATATTTTATAAAATATTATTTAGAATTTAAATTTAATAATTTTAACCAAAGATAATAATAAATATGTAATATCTATGTTTATTATTTTTAATTTAATAATAATATATATCGTAACATAAAAATAAACAATTAGACGTGTATAATTACTAAATTAATATCTTAAAACTTACTAAAAAATAACCTTAAATTAATGTTCTTCACAGTGAAATAAGTATGAATACTTAAATATATGTATTAATACTTACCGATAACCAAAGTTTATCGATTTTCAAATTTTTTAATAATTTTTCATATTTTCTATCTAAAATATTATTAATCTATCAACGTAATAAATAACGCTAAACCAAATTTATTAAATATCTTTTAATATATCTAATAATAGTGTATATTAACAATATATTAGTCGCATTTCCTCAACAATCCCCGTCATAATGCAAGTATCCATGGGAAGACATAATATCTCCCACATGTGGAAATGCGGCACCGTCTTCAAGCGACGAGTGATCATTGGATCAAAATGATTAAAGTCAAACACAAATCCAACGGGTCCACAACCTAAGCCTAAAAGCAAGCGAAACATCTGATCCAGACTCTCCCCTGGCTTATTTATTGACGCGTTTTCATTTCACCAAACCCTCTTCTCCTCCCTTTTGCTCCCTCTCTCTCGCTCTCTCTTGCATTTTTGTTGATTTGCCTTTGGCTGTTTTACTTGGTTTTTGTTTTTGTTTAACTGCCTCTCTGAAATATCGGGGATCTTTATTTTCGTGAATAAGGCGCATTTTCTCTGTTATCATTAGCCTGATTTTACTCGAATATGAGGTTGGAGGAAGAGTTCTCTCATTGGGACCACTGCGACGAAGAGGAGCAACCCGAAACGATGTCGCAATGTTCCATCGGAGGTTTGCAACAACAACAACAACAGAAGCTTGTTGTTGTCGGTTATGCCCTTACCTCTAAGAAAATCAAGAGCTTTTTACAACCCAAGTTCGAAGGTTTAGCCAGGTGAATATTGGGTTTTCTTTTTTCCTTTTTGGAGTCCAATGCTTGTTATTCCAAAATCGAGAATATTCTCTCCCGCTGGACGTCGCTGTCGTGATTTTTGTGAATGATATTACATCCACCACATAACTCCAATAAGCCAAAGATTTTTGTTTTACGACTTTCGTTTATTGTGGTGATTATAATATGCTTTTTCCTTAATTTATTTTTGAATTGATCCTTTCATATATTTATTATTTATAGGTTTTATTGTGCCATTATTTGACTTTCTTGCTGGTAAAATGTTACTATCATTACTTAATGCTATCCTTTCAAGCTGAACCTTAAATTTCTTCCATGGCTCTATGGAAATGGTATTTATTGTTCTTTTTGGTCAAGTGACTGAGGCATGAGTCTCTGCTAATACTAAAATATGTGTTTATTTCTGTTGTGTTTTTAAATTATGGAATTTGGTGGTTTTGTACCTTGATAGGAGAAAAAGGCTCGACTTTGGCGCTTAGCATAAAGTCTATGTTGCTGTTGATGTGTTGTTTGTTTCTTTTGTGTTAGTAACTGTGTGAAATGTTGGATATGGTGCAGGAATAAGGGGATATTGTTTGTTGCAATTGATCAAAATAGGCCTCTTTCAGATCAAGGTCCTTTTGATATTGTATTGCATAAGGTAAGTACATGTCTTTGCATATGTTTAATTGTGTGTCGTGTTATTAAATTTCATGACGAAGTGAAAAAAGGGGCTTAACATGATCCATATTTTCATCTGATGCAGATGACTGGAAAAGAATGGCGCCAGGTTCTTGAGGTTGGTCCAAATTCTACAATCGTATAATTTATGTCCTTTTTTTTTTCTTTTTTCCTTTCAACCATGAATGCTATGGAATGATTGAGTGTGAAGCCACTTCTGTTTGATACATTATGTTGTGATTTTGATGTGTTTTTACATGGGAGGAACCAAATTACCCAGTGACAGTTGTCAGACAATTGTTGTACTTAAATATCATAATTGTCTGACATAATTTGCAGACTTAATGCTCTTTCCTTCCTCATGAAACATGACTTGATAATTGAGGTTGAAGCCTTAAGATTCCAGCAAGTGAGGATGTTTCTACTTCCATGGCCAATTGGCCATCTGGCTGATTTTTCAGGTTTTCTTAGCATTGCACGCGAAACAAAATTTTTCATTGTTTTGTATGGCTTCATATGTCCTGTGTATACAATTACACCTTTCTGTCCTGACTCAAACCAAGTGTAGGATCTGGTGTACCTCTATATTTGCCATATCATGCTTGAGGAAGTGACTGGCAGTAGGATTCAATTGTTTGCAAATACCATAATGTGTTCTACAATGACAGCAACAAACTTATGCCTCGGCAACATAAAAATTCTTACTATCAACTTCATCACTAGTTCTCTGGAACTTGGATATTGCTATTTATTTGTATATATTAAGAGTAGATAAGCGGTTCAGTGAACAATTCTTAAATTTGGTATACTTATAGGTTTAAAGAGGTATCAGCTTCTTAAATCATGCTCAACTTCTTTGGAATTTGTTGCTAGAATGTAAATTCAATTCATTACTATGTGGTCCGATTTCCTTTTGATCCTCAGTGTTTTGAGCCGTTTCTTTAGTATCTAGGTGACGTTTAGGCACCTGATGAAAATTGTATCAGATGACTAACTAATTTTGATACCAATTTTTTTTGACCGTTTTCTTTTGATTGTAAACGAAATACAGTGAGCCTGTTTTGATGCTGACTTTCAAATGACTTCATAGTTTTATGTCGCTTAATTTATTATGTTTCTCTACTTTGTGGTGTCTTTTTATTTGGTTATTTAATGGGGTCCTTATTGGCCTGTTGCTCTGCTTTCTTGAATATCTTGTTCTTGTATGAAAGGTCTTCAAGTTTCAATAGTTCAGTTTCTGCATGGTTTTACGTCGCAACCAGAGGATGGTTTGTTGTTAATCACAGCGCCCAAAGGAAAATCTATAAATTTGACTTGTGATTTTGTATGAATACCCAGTGGATTATATACATATGAAGTATTTTAGGTGTCTGTTTTAAAACCTTTTCTTCTGGATAGAATGAATGAAATTCTTATCACAAAAACTAAGAAACAAGGATTGTAGACTCTTTCCCTTTTCTTTCTGGGCAAAGGACTATGAAGTGTGTACTTTTGGGAAGTAATTGGTTTTACATGCATCAAAAGTTACGTCAGTGAAGTTTTTTTGTCTCTAGATCCATTTGTCTGCTTTTTACGCATTTTGTGTTGAGACCAATCCTATACATTAATTACCATATAACTGCAGGATTATAGACACACACATCCAGAAGTCACGGTTCTTGACCCTCCTGATGCTATACAACATTTGCACAATCGCCAATCCATGCTACAATGTGTTGCAGACATGAACTTATCCAGCTCTTATGGTAACTTGTGCTATCTTTTTTGGTGACATTAGAACCTAGGTCTTTTCCTCCCTCTTGCTCAAGCAACTTTTTGGTTTTTGATGAAACGTCATTAAATCAACTCCCATGCTGAGCAAAGTTGATATTGTTTTACCATGCAGGAAAAGTTGGTGTTCCTAGGCAATTAGTAATTAAAAAAGACGCATCATCCATTGCTGATGCTGTAAACAAAGCTGGGCTGATACTACCCCTTGGTATGTACATTTTGTCTTGTGTTATAATATGTGGTTAGCATTCTTTAGGGCTGTTGAAGTTATACGTAATCTTCTATATTGTAGGTTGTGCATTAGGCTTAATAATCTGTTGTGTTGTCTGTTCAATGTCTGTGAGACCAGCCAAAGAGTTGTTTTGCCTAGATCATTCTCCCAATCATGTGATTTTGTGTTCTTTTTAATTTATTTTATTTATACACACACTCGTGTATATATAGAGAGAGAATTTATTGTACTCATAATTTTCGTGGCAATTTGTTCTAATCAAGCTTTAATTTTCCCACATTGTTTCAGTGGCGAAGCCATTGGTTGCTGATGGAAGTGCAAAGTCACATGAATTATCACTTGCTTATGACCAATACTCTCTCGAGAAATTAGAACCCCCACTTGTTCTTCAGGAGTTTGTTAACCATGGTATGCAGCTGCAATTCTTAGGAGGCTCAATGGCTTCAACTTTTTGGACTTTAATGAGCAATGTTCAGCTGATGTACTGTTTTTTCCTTATGTCTGTAGGAGGTGTTCTCTTTAAGGTTTATATTGTTGGAGAAGCCATTAAAGTAGTTAGGCGTTTCTCTTTACCTGATGTCACTAAAAGAGAGCTCTCCAAAATTAAGGGTGTTTTTCGGTTTCCACGGGTTTCCTGTGCTGCAGCTTCGGCAGATGATGCAGATTTGGACCCTAGTGTGGCTGGTGTGTTGCCCCATTCGAGAATTACCCCCTTTTCGTTTGCTATTTTTTCAATTTTGCTTGGTCCGTTTTTAACATGAATGCTTGATCAATGAAATTGTGTTTGGATTTTGGTTTAGCCTGAAAAGGCGGAACCTTTGATTGTGGCTTTTCAGTTAATTTTAGGCAACAAATTGAAAGGCTTTCTTAAAACCAGGCGTTTTGTATCTTAATAGGCCCTCACATTTTTCTTCTCTTTTATTGCAGAACTTCCCCCTCGCCCTTTACTTGAAAGACTGGCCAAAGAGCTTCAGCGGCGCCTGGTAGCTTTTTAAATTTTGTCTATTATTTCTCTGCTTTTTACATACACCAACCTGTAGAATAATTTGATTAAATCTGTTTTTTTATCTTTTTGGTTATATGTAGGGTCTTCGGCTATTTAACCTAGACGTTATCCGGGAGCATGGAACCAGGGATCATTTTTTTGTCATTGACATAAACTACTTTCCTGGCAAGTGAAACTTCTACCTTTATAAACCATATCATGCTCTGCCATTTTCGTACCTGGTTTAAAGTACATGCATGCTATCGTGTTCTTTGTTTGAAGCACCTTGCAGACAACTGACTCGCTCTGGAATTGTTTGTGAAAAATAATGCAGGGTATGGGAAAATGCCTGGCTATGAACATATATTTACGGACTTTCTCTTGAGCCTAGGACAGAGTCGATACAAGAAAAGATTGAGCTAGAAACTTTATGAAAGACTAGGACACCCCAAAAGCATTAGATGGTGCTGTTAAATAATCACATGATGATGCCTTGCAGTTGTTTCGGTACCCAATTGTATAGCATCGCGAAATTCCTGCTAGCAGCTGGTGGAGGGTGCCATATCAAAGCACAAAAGAACCCAGCCTTCAAGTTCTGTAGTTACATGAAGCTGGTTGGATTGTCTCCTATTATCGATGTAAACAGCTCTATGAAAACCAAACCTGTGGTGCTCAATTCTTTTGTTCAACACTTTACATGTAACATGACGATGGGCGAGCTCTTTCCTGTACCACCCAATAACATCTGATGTTTCCATCTTTTATAATATGTATAGTTTTGTTCCTTTAAATTTCTTAGCAACACTTTTTTTGTATATCAGTGGAGCAGTAGTTAATTGGAAGTACCACTCATATGTGCTTAAGTTGCCCCAATCTCGAAAACATCACTCGATTTCACATTTAATCTGATAGCCCAATTTTTCGATAAAAATTAACAAATAATTTGATGAGTCTCAATGTTATCTAGAAGATTTTGTAACTGTTAGATTTAACCTCGTTAAAAGAACGTGTGGGGTGACTTGGAAACGTAAACCTAAACATGAAAACGTAATTTTTAAGAGAGAACAAACTAAACTGATGGCAAATCCATCTGGAAGTCCAAGGTTTAAGAACATTGATGAGTACATATCAGGCTCATTCAATCATTTCAAAAACCCAGATAGGGTATGATCGACATAATGATTAACAAGAAACTACCCGCTTGAAGCAGTTGCCTGTAGAGCAGCCTCAGCAACGTCGCCGGCGCTTGAAACAAAGTTCCAATCAGGAGGGAGCGGAGGCAAAGGAGCGTAAACGGTGGGCTTCCTCCTTACGTCCCATGAGTGCGTCTTGCGTGGCCTTGTCTTCATATGATGCTTCGTTGCATTCTTTTGCGGCCTGGATGAACATTCTATAAACACCCCACCTCCGGAAACCGTTGAAGATGGAAGGTTACGTGCCTTAATTGAAGGAATAGAGATGGAATTGGGAACGAAGGTGATTTTGGGAGCGGAAGTTAGGAGAGTATTGGCATTCCCATTGTTTCTTTAGCCTCTCGGGGTGAATAGCGTGAAATAAAATAAGCGCCTTCGCTTGTGGATTACATACATGAGCAACTTTCGATTTGGCAAAATTTCAAGTACAAAATTTGTTAGGCTTCATGGTTCCTATTTTCTATTATGGGTTTTGGGCCAACCCATTCAATACTGTTTAGTTAGTTTGCATTTGTTTGTTCTGTGCTTGTGAAATAAATCCTTCGGTTAAAATCGGACAGGTGATTACTATCAGAGTCGAGTAATCCTTGGAGTCGGTTAAAGTCGTTTGGAAACGAAGGGAAAGGGTATGAAAAGAACGTAAAGGATGGTCAATAACGGTTCACGACTTATCTGGTTCAACTGTAGCCTCGACTTCACTGGTTACTCCTTTCGTGGCTTCACCGGGATTGGTCCGAGTCAACCGCTCCAATCCTGACTCGCGGTTTATTATCCATCCAGGAGGTGGTACCTAGAAACCTTGGGGCTGTCTCGAGGCTTGGCGAAACCATGGTTCTTCCGATGGGCTCGGTTACGATTTCAAACTCATTCCTGATATGAGCGCGACAACCATTGTTCTGACTGACGATATATTGGCCAGCTAAATCAAGAGCATTGAAATTTGATTCCATGGTGAAGCGAGCAATACATGTTTGTTTTGCATACTTTTAAGCAATAATTGCTCTACCTAAAGTAAAAATATACCCACTAGTGGAACTTACTTCATCATTATCAATTACCCAATTTGCATTACAATATCCTTCCAGAATTGTAAGGTATCTAACGAATTTAAGTTCATAACTTATTGTACATTTAAGATATCTGAGTAAACGATAAAGAGCATTCATATATTCACCACAAGGATTGTAATTTAGATGCATATAGGAGCATATAATTGCATTTAATGTGTTAAAAACATTTTGATGTTTCGATAATAAATTAAATGTTATTGGATTTCAAGATTTTCTAATCATTTTCAAATATATATTAGATCAAACTATTCGAATATCAAAATATTACTCCAAGTTTTTCAAATGTCAATTTAAATCCTTACTCAAGTGTAAAAGTGTGTTTTAATCTTTTAAACAATTTAACAAAGTATTTCAAGCCTTAATCGAGTCAAAAATATTTTGTTAATAAATCTTAAACCAAAAAACCAGATTGTCCAGAGGGTACTGATACCACAAAGAGGGTACAAATACCCCTATGTAAGATTTGGCTCCGAGAAATAACAGATTGCTCGGAGGGTACCGATACCCCCAGGAGGTACCAATACCCTCAGTCTAATAACGGTCGAAATATTTGAATTTTACACTGCAGGTACCAATACCCTATGAAGGGGTACCGATACCCCCCACGCTCCAAGCTGTTTTATTAATTGTTTTCACGCAATAATGGCTCTATTGACTCCACTAATGATCTCCAACGTTCAGAAGTAATCCAGAGAGTATTTAAACAAGCTTAGGAGCCATTGATCAATAAAAATTAACAAGAATCAAGAGAGAATCAAACAGAAAGCATCAAACCTCAAGTTTGAGCATTTTCAAGCCTATTCCATTCAATATTCATTTTTTCTTTCAAGAACACTTATTATGCTCAATTGTATTATTCTTAAGTATTCTTCCTTTGTTCTAGAATTGTGCAAACATCTTTCCTTATGAGTTTGCAAAATTTGTATTGTTCTCTTTGGGAGAGAGTGTTTTCAAGAATTTGAGGTATAATTCTTGAGAGATTTGTAAGGTTACTCTTTGTCTTCAAAAGAAAGCCAAATTAGTGAATTTGTGGAAAATCCTTAGTGTGGATAGCTAAGGTAGTGGACGTAGACTTTGGTTGAGAAAGTCGAACCACTCTAAATTGTTGTGCAAATATTTTCAATTTTCTGCAAAAGCTTCCATCGAAATTTTTATTGCCAATTCACCCCCTCTTGGCCTATTCCGTCGATCGATTAACTCAACAATTGGTATCAGAGCTTGACTCATTTGAAGGTTTAATCGCCTATTAAGTAGATCCGGGAAGAGTTACATCGATAATCAAGTCATCAATGGCCTCTACTTCAAACTTCGACTCCGGTCTCGATTCAATTCCCCTCAACAAGTCTCATTTCTTCAATGGAGCTAATTACGCTTATAGGAAGAATAAAATGATGTACTTCATTCAAGCAAGTGACATGGGAGCATGGAATGTCATAGAAGATAGATACATCAAACCTTCCACTCATTCAAGATTGTGGAGTGAATGAGAGACAAGAATGTTCCAGCTCAACTCAAAAGCTATCCATATTATATTTTGTGCTCTTGAACCGGATGAATACGGGAGAGTTTCATCTTGTACAACCGCCAAGGAGATATGGGATAAACTACAAGTCACTCATGAAGGCACAAACGAGGTAAAAGAATCTAAAGTTAGTCTTCTAACTCATAGCTATGAAAATTTTAGGATGAAACCGGATGAAGATATCAAAGATATAACGGGAAGATTCTCCATGATTGTCAATGGTCTCAAATCATATGGAGAAATTATTCCAAATGAAAAGCTTATGAGGAAGTTAGTTTACTCTCTTCAAAATCTTGGCAATCAAAGAAGACGGCGATCATCGAGGCTAAGAACTTAAAATCCTTGACTCTCAATGAGCTAATCGGTTCTCTCCTCAAGCATGAAATGATGCTTCAAGATGAGGTAGACCTTGAAAAGACGGATGAGATAAAGAAAGAAACTGAGAAGAAGAAGAAGAACGTGGGAGTTGCTTGTCCGCTCGGTATGAGTACTAAATATGGGTACGGATATATGTGCAAGTATACACAATCGAACAAGTAATACAATGATAAGTGAGTATCGTCTCCACATGGATTGGAGGAAGTCGAATAAGTTCTATCAAAGCGCTTTACTTTGTCACCTAAGTAAAGTTAGTGATGGTATGTACAAATGATAATGCTGTGGAAAAATGAGATGGATGTTGTGGAAATGGAATGGTGGTATGGTAGCAAATGGATATGTCGTGGCAAAGTGGATGTAAATGTCGTGGAAAATTAAATTGTGTTGAGTGCAAACAAATGGAAATATTAAGGCAAAATGAAATGTAAATATACGATTTGATTAATATATATATAGGACTTTATCCTTCTCACATGACAAGCAGCGATGAGAATGAGTGATGGGAGTCACAAGGAAAACCTAAGTCTATTTCTCTGAATGGTATTTCTTCTATGCCTGCCCTGCCCAACAGAGTCTACTAAGGTGCCCTATGCTATCTCTAGTAAGGGACTCGATAGATTAAAGATGTCCTGGCATAACAAATTGGCGTAAACCCCTGCAGTGATCCTATTGGTCCAGATAATAGGATATGTCTCGACAATACCTTTTTGTGGCAGCATTAACATCTAACCTATCGTTTTTGCACAACTTCTTTTAGTCGAATGAAATCCTAACCTTACCTCTAAGGTGGATTAGGCCTATTTACTACCTAGAACCCCTTGCTTATGTAGTTCCTCCCTAGTTTCTCTCGAACACTAAGGATAATTTGCCAAGGTATTCTCTCGAACCCTCAAGACTTCCTAAGGAAAGGCTACTCTCATAGCTCCTACAACCTTAAGACATTAAGTTTCATAAATAAAACAGATTAAAGCATAGCAAAATAATCATTCATTGAAATAAAAACTTAAACATCCAAGTGAACTCCCACCAAATAGGATTAGTCCATAGTGGGGTTCGAAATAAACAAGAACAAAGCAAGTATCATTCATTCCTTACAACCCAATAACAAAATATGAAAACAAAGAACTAAGGGATGAGAGAAAGCCTTTGACGTGCACTGCCCAATGCTTCCCTCGGCCACCAAGCACTGCTCCTAACAAACTGGCTCCTCTCAGATGCTCAGGACGCTAATCCCTCCGGCTTGTCAAGGAGAAATGCCACGGCAAGTAGGATTGACGGAGAAAGATGAGACATTCTCTCTCTAACTTTTTAAGCTCAAATCTG